ATGCTTTCAGGATGCATCTGTACTTCAGACCGGAGACCCCTCTGGAAAGCAGCCCAGAGGAGTACTGGATGCAGCAGCCTGAAGAGAGCAGCGGGAAGGTGAAAGCCCATCTGGCACCCACGGCGCTGAAACCTCAGCTTCAGGGCCTGGAAAAAGCAGCCAGAGAAAGTCCTTCTCCAAGCCTTCCCGGGAGGGTCACCACAGTTTTGGCAGAAGCTGTCACCAGCAAGTTCATCATCTTTGCAAACAGGCTGAGCACAGAGAAGCAGAGGGAAATGTCCCCACCTGGAATGGTGCAGGTGGAGGTACAGAGCCAGACTCAGCCTCGAGCTGTGGGTTCTCCCCACCCTGAGTGGGGCAACTCATTTACACAGCCCGTCCCAAACTCAGCTCAACATCTGCAGGCAGGGGATTCTTACAAAACAGACCTGGAGACAGGATTTTTCCCAAGCTGGACAGAAGCCTTTAAGGGCAAGGAGGTAACAGCTGGAGAAGGTCAGCAGGCCAGAGGGGTCAGCTCTCAAGGGAAGACGTGCAAGCCCAAGACTGACATAGTTTTCCTGAAAGTCCACAAGAGCGCCAGCAGCACTGTCATGAACATCCTGTTCCGCTTCGGGGAGACGCACAACCTCACCTTCGCCTTCCCGCAAGGCGGGGGCTTCCAGCTCTACTACCCACACCACTTCCTGGCCAGGTTCGTGCAGGGCTTCTCCCCACTCAGCCCCCGGCGCTTCAACATCCTCTGCCACCACATGCGATTCCTGCTGCCGGAGGTATGGGCAGGTGGGCGGGGAAGGGGGAGAGGGGCTCATGGGGCACAAGGGGGGGCACCTGTCGAGCACATAAACTCTGCAGGGATGAGCTACAGAGAGCCAGGATTGCCCATGGATACCTGGCACGTTGTTGGCATCTCCTGAGGGCTTCTGTGAGCAGGTTTGATGAAGCCCTGCGCTGTGAGCCATGGCAAAGTAGGAGACAGCATCTGTAGCAGTCACCAGATCTCATCTCTTTCTTGTCTGGTGGGCTCTGGGACATGTCATGCTCCCTGGACAGGCCCAGAGGGGACCAGCTGCAAGAGAAGAACATCCGAAGTGCATCAGCTCAGGTCAGCCGTGCCCAGCATCCACTCCTCTGGATGCTACCTGAGGACAGGTGGACATGGGGAAAGGGAAGGAGACAGGCAGTATCTCCATCCCAGCCCAGCCACGCAGCTGTGGCAGCCCACTGTGAGGAGCTTTGCTCACTGCTCTCCCTTCTGGAGCTCCCCACAGCTCCTCTGATGAGCTGCAGCCTCAAATCTTCCCCAGCACCCCCCACCTCCAGCCCCAGCAGGTGCCTCTGCTCCCCAGCAGAGCAAGCGAGTGGGTCCCTTCTTCCTACCCCACCTTTAAACGCTCCTTTCTCTCCTCTGCAGGTGCAGAAAGTGGTGCCCAGTTCTGCTGTCTACTTCTCCATCCTGAGGAACCCCGTGCAGCTGATGGAGTCCTCCTTCGTGTACTACAAGGGAGCGTCGGCCTTCTCGCGCGTCCGCAGCCTGGAGGAGTTCCTCAGCCAGCCCTACCGCTACTACGACCCCACCAGCGGCGACCGCCACTACTCCAGGAACCTCATGACCTTCGATTTCGGCTTCAACCCCGACGGAGAGGTGTCCCCTGAGCGAGTGCAGCTCATGCTGAAGGCCATCGAGGCATCCTTCAACTTTCTGCTCATCTCCGAGTACTTTGACGAGTCCATGGTGCTGCTGAAGGAGATGCTGTGCTGGGACCTGGACAGCGTCGTCTCCTTCCCGCTCAACACCAGGGACAGCAGCACCAAGTCCCCTCTCCCGGACTCCGTCGTGGAGAAGCTAAAGGCCTGGAACAGGCTGGACTGGGAAATCTACACCCACTTTAACAGGACCTTCTGGGAAAGGATCGACCGGGACATCGGCCGGGAGCGCATGCGGCGGGAGGTGCGGGCGCTGCGGGAGCGGCAGGCGGAGCTGGCCAGGACCTGTCTGCAGGGCACGGGCAGCGTGGCCCCCAAGGACATCAAGGACTCTTCCCTGCGGCCGCTGCAGCACGGCGGGGCCAGGATCCTGGGCTATAACCTCAAGCAGGGCTTGGATCGGGAGCTGGAGCGGACCTGCCGGCGGCTGGTGACGCCGGAGCTGCAGTACAGCAGCCTCCTCTACAAGAAGCAGTTCCCCCCGCCGCCCCCCGAGACCGCCCTGCCCGCCTCCTCCCGGCAGCACCGGCTGGAGCCCACCCCAGAGTGAGCCCCCCTGGCCCTGCGGACACCCATCTCCAGCCGCCCTGGCTGGAGCCCACCCCAGAGTGAGCCCCCCTGGCCCTGCGGACACCCATCTCCAGCCGCCCCTGCTGGCACAGCGAGGCTCAGCCCTCCCGGCCGGGCTGCTCTGCCCCGGGCACCGGGGGTGCTGCCCCGGCCGCCTCTCCCTGCACCTCCGAGCGCAGCTCTGGGCGCTGCAGCGGGGTCCCAGGGGCTCCACAGCGCTTTTCCACAGGGAAATCACCCCCAGTGAGCAGCTGAAGCCTCAGCACAGCCCGGGCTTTGGGCAGCCCAAATCCTGAGCCCCGCACCAGAGACTGCGGCAGAAGAGCGCCGAGCTGTAAATCAGAGCTGTAGAGTTTGATTTACAGCTTGGGAACGAGTCTGTCTGTCTGTCTGTGCAGCCCAGCTCTCCCCTGCTCCATTAACCTTACCGTGCTGGAAAAGCAGCCTCTTAATTAAAAATAACAACAGTCACTGTCGCTCCTTAAATTCCCCTTAATTATATCAGTCTGCCCAGTAGGTGACATCCCCAAAAGCCCCAGAAGCACACCCCAAACATTTGAATATGTCTTAATATGTCCTGAAAAGCAAAAAAAAAAAAAAAAGCAAAAGAACCCCAACAACAAAAAAAAACATAAAAACAAAAAACAAAAGCAATAAACCCACCAAAAAAACAAAAAAACAAACAAACAAAAAAAAGACCCCCAGCAACAAACCCATGGTAAAAAGGGAACCCCGGCATGATTTTGTGCTGACTCTGTGGTTAGAGATTGCCTTTGGGTGCTGCATTTATAGGATTAGCATCCTCCTCTGCTGTGTCAGACTCAAGTTCCATCCCTGTGTGACAGGGAGAGATCTCATGAGCCTCTCTGCAGCCAGACATCCCAACCCACCACTCTGAGCTGCCACAGGAATATCCTCTGCCTGGGACAGATCTCCCAGCAATGGCTTGTGGAGGGCAATTCAGCCTGATTTTTCTCATCCTGCACTTCTCCTTGACTCAAAAGCAGAGCCAGCAAATCAGCTGGGATAAACAGAAGCCCCACCTTTGGCTTTTCAGCATGATTTCCAAACCAAAAGGTGTTCTGAAAAAATTGCCCAGAGGGATTTGAGCACCCCAGGCTCTCCCTGGGGCAGCCACGAAGAACCTCAAAGGTTTCCATTTCCACCCAGAGGTCTCCTGCTCGGTTTAATCAGGAAAAAAACAGACTGTGCTCCCAGTGCCCTTCCTGGGGCAGTGCCAAGCACCCAGCCAGGCACAAGGAGAGGGCACAATTAGGGGATTTTGCTCCATGGCTTTGGGGTGCTGTGTGTTCCATAAAATTTTGTCTCTGAGGCACATCCATGTACAGCTGTGTTGGTCCCTTCCCTCATTTGTCCCATCAGGATGTGGGGTGAGCTCATGGTTTCAGAGGTCTGGGGCTCCTGGGGGGCCTGCAGGCTGCAGAGGGCAATCCCAGAGGAAATCAAGTGGGATGGGCAGCCCAGAGGCCATACAGCACCCTGGGGTTGTCTCACCATGGACATGGACTCACTCCCAGAGTGGAGGGAGGAGCAGGACTGGACACTGGATACCAAACCTTCATTCCTCCACTCCAGGTTTTAATTTGGTCCCACTTGCTTATTCCCTGTTTGCACCTCAGGAAACAGGAGCAGGTCATTCCTGTCAAGAGCTCTGATCCAGGGCAGAGATCCTGGAACAGCCAGAGCATCACAATCTCCCTGTGCTGTTGGGGAGAGCGTCCAAGGTGCAGGTCCCATGGGGTGCCCTGGCCCCAGCACAGCCCGGGGTGATCCCCATTTCCCAGTGGGTGTTCCCCCCACACTCCCCCTCTTTCCAGAGCAAGCAGCAGGCAGGGAAGAGGTGGTTTGGGCATCACAGTGACTCCCATTTTCAGGGATGTCTCCCAGCAGGGCTCCCAGGAATGACATCACTCACCCAAATGCCAACCACAGCATTTATTTTTATTACGTTTTTTATTTTTCCACAAACTGTAATTTCATAGTTAGGAGTATTTCACATAGACATGGAGCAGAGCCCAGGGATGCACTTGTTCAACCACAGCAGCTGCCTGGGTCTCTTTTTTTTTATCCACATACCCTTTGTGCACCATTTCTTGATGCTTTACAGCACCAAAGCCCAGGCTAAGCACAACCCCAGAGGAGCAGGGTCTCCCATGGCCAGTGAACTCTCTTGCCTTGGAGCATTTTTAATTCTTCTCCAAGACTTGCCAGGTTCAGCCTGTGCGATTCAAGGACTTCAGGTCAAGCTTAACTCAAAGCCCACCAATTTTTAACCAGTATCCATTAATAACTCAAAAGTTCAAAGCCTGTTTCCTCCCCATCCCAAGTGTTCAAGGCTTATACTTTGTTTTTATGGCTGCAAAAGACCCAGTGGGGTTACTTCAGGCATTGCACGATGCAGTAACCCTGAGTTGCTCAAGCCTGCCCATGGAATGGTCCCAAACTTTCTGTGAGATTCCTGGCAGTACAAGACAACCAGCAATTTATGCAAAATAAATTCAGTGTTTTCTCTCTGAGGCAGCAGTGTGGGCTTGAAACATTTCAGGCTTTCCAGGGAGGCTTTCAAAGCAATTCCCAAAGGAGCTCAAGGACTCGGGATCCTGCAGGGATTCCTTTGTGATGCCTTAAGGACAGAAGGAGCAGCAAAATCCTCCACACCAGGAAACCCTTTCCCAGGAAAAGGGCTGCCAGGACCCCTGGGCTCAGGCACAGGGCTCCAAGTTGCTTTTCTCCACTTTCCTCTTCCTCTGTGGTTTGTCACCCTCCACCTGCACTGTCACCTTTGCCTTGGGCACCTTGTATTTGCTCTTCTGGCTGTAGAGGAGGTTTTTCTGGAAGAGGCGTGGGATGTTGCCCTGGAACAGCAGGAGGGCAGCGAGCATCCCTGGAATGAGAGCACAGACCCCTTCCAAGTGCTGTGCCGAGCAGCTCCACCCTCCCCACAGCTCAGCAGCAGCTTGGGATCCTTGTCACAACCTTCACCATGACCAAAAAGCAGCTCAGCACCACGAAATCCCCACTGAGAGCTGAGGGACCCTTGCTGTACTGTTTTAAGGAGGATTTAACCACTGTGTCATTAACATAATAAAAAAGGCTCGTTTTGACCCAAAAGGGCCACAAACAACACCCCAGTGGTTTTCTGGCAGGGAATCACTAAGGTTGGAAAAGTCCTCTAAGCCCATCTAGTCCCACCATCCCCTCAGTGCTGCCAAGGTCACCATTAGTCATGACCCAAATGCCACATCCACATGGCTTTTATCCACTTTTTATCCACCAACCTGCAGGGTTAGTGCCTCCACCACTGCCTCCACCACTGCCTTCAGCAGTGCCTGACCACCCTTTAGGGAAGAAATTTCCTCAGTACACAACCTGAACTTCCCCTGGAGCAACTTGAGGCTGTTTCCTTTTGTCCCATCACTCTTATCTGGAAGCAGAGCCCAACCTCATGTGGCTCCAGCCTCTGGTCAGGGACTTGGCTCCACTCTCGGCACACATCCAGCTCCCCATGACCATTCTGGAGCTGAGGACAACCTCAAAGTATAGCTCAACCTGCCATTGCCCTAAAACACCTTTCCTAAACCTCCCCCAGACTTTGGCCCTTGTACCGTGCAGAAGTTGGATTTTAAAAAATTGGACAGCCAAAGAGATGACCCCAGAGATGATGAGGCAGGGTGAAAAATGACACTTGCCACTGTCAGACCCAAGTTCAGCCCTTTGCCAGAACAGTCCATGTTACACTGAGCACTTCTGCCTTGCCCCATGCCAGCTCCTGCCCCCTGGGAAGATCTCACCTGCGAGGGGCCCCAGCCAGTAAACCTGGAGGTAGTCCCAGAAGCTGCTCCCCGAGCAGTGGAAGGTGGTGGCTGTGGCCAGGGCAGGGTTGAAGAAGGCCCCTGTGTACGGTCCGGCTGTGTGGGAAGAGAAGTGTGGCAAACAGTCCCACTGCATCCTTTGGAACACTGACAAAGGGCTGGGACCCCTCCTGCCTGTCTTCTTGGACTGGGGAAATCCCACCCTTGTCACCCTCAGCTCTGTGGGAAGCAGAAAAGCTCCGTGCAGGACTGAGGGATCGCAGGGGACATTCCAGGGAAGTGATGCCAGTCTTCAGCTATGGCTGCGAGCCGACATTGACTCGCAGCCCAGATACCCCAAACTGCCATCTTCATCCCAAAATGAATATTCCCCAAAATAACAGAAAACAAACACCTTGGTAGTCGTTACCTTGTTAACCCCTACCTCTCCAGTCCTGGAAGATGAGAAACAGGGGGGCTGTTCCTCCCCCACAAACGAGGCACCTTTCCAAACGACTCAGAAAAGGAAACCCCAGCGCTGCTCACCTGTGTAGGTCAGGAAGGTGACGGCCGCTGCCAGCGCGGGGACCCGGTACAGGGGGTGGCTCTGTCGCACCTTGAGGAAGACAAGGTGGAACAGGAAGGAGCAGGAGCCTTCCACGAAGGCAGCGTGGGGCAGGGAGGCGCGGATGGGGGAGCTGCACTCCGGCCCGATCAGGTTCTGGATGAAGTGGAGCTGTGTCAGCTCCCAGGACCAGTAGAGCCGGGTGACGGCCCAGCCCGTCCCTGTACCCACCCCCTGGGCCAGCAGCTTGGCCACCATCGCTGCCAGGCTGGACTCCAGGAGCAGGAACTCCTGGACAGACACGGTCGGGTTGGCGGATGCTCCCTCAAAAGAGGCGCCGTGGACAGCGGAGAGGAGGAAGAGCAGGGTCAGGACCAGGTCCAGGCTGAAGCCACCACCCCAGGGGCCGATCTCCATCAGCATCCTCAGCTCGAGGCAGCTCATGCACAACTGGAACGAGCCAGCAAATTCCCTGGCAAGGCAGCCATGTGTTGCGGGGGACAGAAGCCTCTTGGAAAGCCACCTGAGCACCTGGCACACCCCAACAACCAGGAAAAAAAACCCAATGGAGACATTCAAGCCATCCATAGTGAAGGCTGTGCTGGGAGCAGAGTCTGGGAAGGAGCAGAGGAAGCTCCTGCACCTCCTCTTTATAAAGCCAAGCAAAAGCAAACGTGGCACAGCCTGACAGGCCTGGGAAAGGCCACACGTGTGTCCCCCACAGGGCAATGCCAGTGCCCAGGGAGCTGCCAGACTCACAGCAGCTGGAGCAGCCACCAGGTTGTTTGTCCCAGAAAATCCCAGCATTATCTCCACCAGGCACTGAGCCCCCAGCCCCAGCACTCACACCTGAGAGCCCACAGCAGCTCCCCAGAGCTGGCAGCTCTTCCAGATGGAACAAAATCTTAATTTTCTTTCTGCTTGGCTCCAATGCCTGTGGTTGTCCCTGGATCCCTGGAAGTGTCCAAGGCCAGGTTGGATGGGGCTTGGAGCAACATGGGATAGTGGAAGGTGTCCCTGCCCATGGAAGGGGTGGAAAGAAATGAGTTTAAGGCCCCTTCCAACCCAAAGCATTGTGGGATTCCATGGTAAACAATACATGATGTGTCTTCTGGGTCATTTCTCTGATCTGCAGCAGGAGAGCCACCCTCAGCCCACATTTGCACCCCTACAGGCGCTCCAGCATCCCCAGGGCAGGCAGTGCTGGCAGGTAACCCAGCTCCTCTTGCTGCCCTGTAACACACAAAGAGCCAACAGCTTTGATTTTGGCCATTTTATTTCCCCTTGTGTCATTTATAAGAGAAATTCCCAGGAAACCCAGGTTTGAAGCACACTTGAGCAGGGATGAGGCTCTTCATACAGTTCAAGGTGGCTCCAGCAGTGCAGCCCAAGCCACAAAAAGCAGGAGCAGATGCTTCAAATGCATTGGAGCCTCTTCCTCAAGAACCTTTGACAGCGGAGAAGAAAAACGACATCGTGGGGATGCTTATGGGAGCCACAGCTCAGCATCTCCCCTGCACCACCCTCGCTCCTTTCCTCTTCCCCTCCCACTCCTTTCTGTCCCCAAGTGGTTTTGGGAAGGATCCCTGCTCACAGCCCTTGCTTTGGAAACCCTGGGGAGTCTGGGCAAGGAGAGGGACCATGCTGCCAACCACCCTTCATCCACCTCTCCTCCCTCTCAAAACTGCCCTGCTTGTGGTCAGCCTGCCTCAGAACTTCCCCCAGTTTAACTCTTTTTACCCCAACTCACCCTCCCCATGACAGGACAAGCACTCATCTTTCACCTCAAATGAACAAATGACTTTGCTTGTATAACAGAAGATGAAATATTCTTTAAGAGTCTCACAAATTAGTAATTTTGTCCTCAAGAAAACTGACCTCTGGCAGCCAAAAAAGCGCTGGTCAAAGCTACTCATCACTAGAGAACCAACTGTAAAATACTTAACATCACAATTCAACTCAATACTTTCCACCTCCACTCCTGTGTTTCTCAGGAGGAAAGAAACCAGTTGAATTTTCTCTTTAAAAAAAATGAAACCTCACGAGGACCCAGCGACACAGCCTGAATCCAACCCCTGGAGGAGAACCACTGGATTATGGGACACAGACTGGGAAAATTGGGAAAGAAATTCCAGCATCTTTTCCTTCCCCAAGAAATGGATTTTCCCCTTCTTCTCAATCACTGTAAGAGTTGGGCCTTAGGAAATAAACATTCCAAGGTCTAAAAACTATTTCCCACACATTGTGCCCACGGCACATCCTGCAGCTGTGGGACATTTAAGCCAGGCTGGAGAGAGGAGCTGGGAGCTGTTGTTTCCAAGGATAACTATGGGATTAAACAAGGCCAGGGCTCATTCCCTCATCTCTGTTAGTGCTGACTCCATGCAGCTTTGCAGGGCTGCTCTTCTAGGAAAAAAAAACATCTAAAAATTCCAATATTCCCACCAAAAACCTCTTTTCTGTACCTGGAACATCAGTGTCCTCCCAAGCCAGACTTGCTTTCAGGGCTGAAAATGCAGATATTTAAGTGGGGTGGTTTAGCCACAGGACAGGAACAAGTTGGCACTTCCAGAGTTCAGCAAAATAAACACTCCCAAAAAACACTGAAGGGTCACAAGAGCTGAGCAGAGCCACCCTGGCTCCCTCATTATTTTCACCCTCAAAGAGGCAACAGCTACAGAAAATAATAAAAAAAAAGTTTTAAGGTTATTTAAGGGAAGCTTCACTGGGCAGGGAGTGGATTAGAGCTTTCCAGGAGCAGCCACACGTTCCCAGCTGCTGTGACAAGGCAGCAGGAACCTCAAGCAGGTTTCACTCCATGGTCAGGCAGGGAAAAAGGCTCCAGGGGATCCAAGAGTTAATTGTGCTTTGTGAAAAAACCCAAATCCTTAGAGTAAGCATTCACTGAGAGCTAAAAATAACAAAGATGGGTCATCCTTGGCTCTAGAAACCTCAAGGAATCCCAGAAGATATCTGTCCTGAGGAAGGTGTGGGCATGTCTCCCCTCCAGACCATTCCCAGGGGCTGCCCTGAGTCCCAGCAGTGATCCACAGCTGTACCAAGCTGGATTCGCTGTTCAGGAGCCCTGTAGGAAACACCAGGACGTGGAGCCTGTGCACAAAGATGTGTCTGTGCCTTGACACAGCCTGTCTGCTCCTCCCTCCTCTGCACAGACTCAACACAGCTCCAAAGCACAAGTCTGGGTTAAGTGCCTGAAAGAGAATGAGCAACTCCTAACTCCCCACTGGGAGAATCTCATTAAAAAAAACCTAAACCAGATCCCTACAGGCTGTTTCAACACTCAGGTCAATGGGGATTTGAAATCTTGATGGATTTGACTTGATGATCTTAAAGGTCTTTTCCAACTTGCCCGATTCTGTGATTTTAAGTGATGATGTGCTGGAGGACAGTCCCACTGCAGACACCAGCTGGGAAAAGCATAATGAGCTGTGTCAGTGCTGCCCTGCTCCTTCCTAACAGGCTGCAGGCAGAGAAATCACAGAAAGTCATCCTTCTCACTTGGTGGCATTTCCCTCCCTCAAGGAAAAGAAATCCTTCCTTAGGCTGGATTCAAAGCAGGGAAAACAGCTCTTAGAAGATCCTGCTTCCACCACACATCTGGAGAGCAATAACCAGAGCTTGGCTGAGCTCAGCAAACTTTCACCCTCAGTCATCCTCACATGACTGAGGATGGCTGTTTTTATTAAAAATAATCGAGAGCAAAATACAAGTTACATTAAAAAAGGGGGGAAAATGCAGCTGTACAAATCCCTGAGAGCAGGGATCTATGGACAGCACTGTGCTCCAGCACAGGAGCCATGGGAACTGCACTGAAACCCAACAATGCTCTTCAGGCCCAGCTGTGAAACCGCTGCTAATGAGGATCCTCACTTTTCCCCCACCCTGGTTTTAACCAGCATGCTCCTGGTGCAGTCCAAACAGTTGTGCTCAGCTTTGTAGTAAAACAGCAGCCCCAAAAGGGAGAAATTACTGCCCCCAAATTTACTGCCTTCAAGAACTATGTTTTAAATACCCAGTCTTGAATAAGCTGACCTCAAAAAATGGGGCTGCTCTTGGGTTTAGTCTCAGGTGGGTACGTGCAAGGGATGAGCAAGTTCACACAAGACTTAGGAGGATTTACCAAGGACTTGCAACTTGCAGCCGTGAAGGCACAATCAGCCAAAGCCCTGCTCTCCTGTGAGTATCAAAATCCTGAGAGTCCTCAGTTCCACTAGGCACCTTCTCCTCCTGTCCACTTTTCCCCCAGAAATTAAATGCCAAATCACTTAAATGCAGCTTTAGAGAACACCAGTTTAAACACACAAAGACAGAAAGACAAAGATACTACAACAAATTGACAACCCTGAAGAGGCTGTGAGCAAACCAGCATTCTCCTGTCTGGGTGAAGCAGCTGCTGGAGATGAGTGGTTTCTTCATTTCCCTTCCTTCCCAGTCAGTGTACTGCAAAGCTTGTGTGACATGCAGGGAAGGGGAAGAGCCCATTTCCCAGTAACACACAGCAAACACAGGACATGCCAAGTCCTCGCCATTCACAGCTGAGGCAGGAACTTTACCCACAGCCAACTGACCCGGACTCAACCCCAAAGTAAATCCCTCCTTGTCCTTGGCTTTGGCTGGACTGGCAGGCCAACACCCCACAGCCTTTTTGTAGGTCCAGTGGAAAACAAAAGTGTCTCTCTGCAGCCTTGGAGGCCAAGAGGCACCGTGGATCTCATCCCAAGTGCTCCAAGAGCTGTCAGCACCCAGTGCCATCACTCCCATGGTCTGACGCTGATCAGCGGCGACGGAGCAAAGGCAGCAGACAGCAGGACAGCTCAATTCCCATGGATCCTGTGCCACAACATTTACAGGCAGGATACTGAATGGCACCCATGCTGCAACAAAGCAGAGCTGCTGGGAACAGCTCCTCCATCATCACCACATGGCCAGAGGTTACTGGGCCCATCAGTCCCACCCCAGCACTGGTGAACGGAGAGGGGAAGAAGAGGATGGGCCAGGCTGGTGTTTGCTTTGCTCCCTTCGCATGGAGGGCGAAGGATCTCTTCCACAGTGGGTGAAAAGGGTGTTTGGGAGCTGCTCTCCTCCCATCAGCTATCCACAGCTTTTCTGGGAGGCACAGACATCCGCCAGCAGTGGATGTCAGCAAGGAAAGCTTGTGCTGATCCCAAGGCTAGTACTGACAATGATGAATAATAAAATTTTAAAAGAAACGGGCTGGTATTGCATAAAATTATATCCACTGTCATTAAAGCATTCATAAGAAGCTTAGTTCCAAATACATTCTGTTAATCTCAATAAAACACCGACACATGAACTCTTTCAGACACTCTTGTCTTCAAAGGTATAAACTCATGACAGGGAAAAGGGGGGAAAAAACCCCAAAGGTTTTTTAAAAGTTTATTTCTAGCCCTGAAAGAACAGTTATTAAACAAAGTCAACAAATACAGTAGTTAATATTGCAGTAACAATTAAATAACATAATGGGATTAAATTACACAAAAGGCAACATGAACATCTGAAGACAGTTAAAAAAATAAAAAGAAAGCTTGCACCTACTTCCATTCCCA